AATTAGCTATGTTTTGAACTATTCCTTCTACAACTCATCAAATGATTAAATAATCAAATTGCTAATTATTTTGTGTTTTGTATTATTGATGTTTGCAGAATAGTTTGCTGATTTTAAGTTATTTTGCCTATATTCACTATATCTCTTTTTTCTCTACATCTTTTTTGATGAGAACTTCATCACCATTATTGACCTTACCACCAGACAAATGCAGCAGATTTATCCTTCATATTACTTCAAATGCTTTCCAGTTGGTTTTTGTCTCTTTCTCTGTATGTTTTTTTGGGAGGGAGATGGAATTTAGAAGAAATTCTTGTAGACATTGGGTAGAAACGGGATGCTTGAAGTCTTGAATATGAAAAACATCCTTCTTCAGCCTGGCATCCTCCAGTTATGTTGGCACTGCTCCTCCCAGAATCCCCAGTCAGATAACTAGAAATGTAGAGGGCACAGGGTTAGGGAAACCCATGGTAGACAACCTTCCAGGTTTGCTTCTATTCCTACTCCAAGCACCATCAAGGTAGAATAATGTTCATATTAATGACATATATACAGATCAAAACACCATCTATCACAGCATTTTACTTCCCATATCTGGCACTGTCAACTACATGCCTTCAAGTACAGTAGTTCATAAGCAAATCATGAAGACAGTACTCCTCCCTTTCTAAGACATTGCAGCAGTTGATATTCAGCGACATAAAGATCTCATTCACACATTGAACTAAGCCTTAAGTTTACAATGGTTTACTGATAATATACAAAACCATAAACCATGATTTATAAACCACAACTAAGTTTTCATATGATACCAAGCCAAAAACAAAATTTGCCCATTCAATTGCCTCTAATCTTGAACTTGGTATCAAAACTATAACTGAAAAATAGTTATTGTAACATTACTTATTCCTGCAAGACAGAGGTAGTTGTGAAAGAGAAAAATGACCCCAAATGCTCTCTGCTAACTTCCTAGTGCCCCAGCTGATGGTACTGTTTCCTTACAAATCCAAAAGGCAGAGGTGCCACAGCCATGGGCTAAGTTGGCAAGATGTAACCCACTATTTTCCAGATCTTTGAATCAGCTCTCACAATCACTTGCAACTAGCATGCTGGTTAATATTAAAGTCCAAAACATATGAAAACACTAGTGTAAGTTGTTTCTACTAGGCAATGGACTACCTACCACAAGGCCAAAAATAGGGCCAGATTTACCTTACCCACAGCAAGGTTGAAATAGCTCATGGGCCTGTTCTTTTTAGTGTCAGGAAAAGGAAAAAATTGGCCCAAATGGGACTGGTTCTTTTCTTCTCAAGTTGATTAAGGGGGATGATATAAAGGATCAAGTACTGAAATACCCATCATGGTGCAGTATATAATTGTATTTTAAAACATTTTAATCTATAATGTAATGCATTTTAAAAATTCATTTTACAAAAGAGGATTGGGTATAATCTGATACTAGTAATAACTCAGGCTGAATGTGTTTGGTCTTCAACCTCCATCTTGGGGCTGACTTTGACTTGTAGACCTCATACTCATAGCTGAAACATTTGATTTGATTTTGGACCTCTTGTTCTTCCCCAATCCCATTTTTGTAAGATTGCATCTGGAGAACTCAAAAGCATGCACATTCCTGTGTGTCATTTTGGTCAGTCCTAATAACAGTATTGCCAACTATGGATGTTAAAATAGTGAGGAGGATTGGAGTATCTTTCCAATAACAAGATGTAGCTGGGACTTTGGGGGGGATTATTAATATAGCACATGATGGAGGGTAATTGTCTATAATATGGAGAAAACAAATAGAGAAAAATATTCTAATAGCTCTTTCAAAAGATTGGAAGACTTAAGGAATGGATTTGCAATCCATTTCAGAGGAACAGATGTAATGCTTCCCCCAAAGCAGACATTGCCACAAGACTTACCGATCACTGCTAGTTTACATGGTTTTAATTCCAAGAGATTGTATCTCTGTATATCTTGGATGACCAGATATTGTAGATACAAATAACAGGGGAGATTTGCACTTACTATTTCCCTTAGGCTGATGAACAGCTACCCTATCATGATAAAGGATTGAAAATGCCACTTCAAAAAGACCTAAAGTAAAAAAAGAATGCTCCATGGCCAGCTAGACTAGCCTTGCTTTCCACAAATAACTTCATCAGAAGACAACTGCAGTGAAACAACAGGATTATAATAACCACAAAATTATACTGTTAATGTTAGCAAGGTAATCAAGAAAAAATATATAAAGTTCTTTTTCTGTCACTATGGAATAGCACCCAGCAAATGTTACTCAAACTTACCAGGGGGAAAAAAAAGTAGAAAAACATTTTCATTAAAGAAGCCCCAGTGAACTGCACGACTGACAAGAATTATGCAATTTCTGAGAATCTGTAATCTTGGAAGGGAGATAATTTAGTGAATTAGCTAGTTTTCATTCTGTGACATAATGAATTTTGTTGTGCAAGAAGGTGACATGATTTGAACCATACATGGAAAGTGAATAAACCTTTTCAATGACTGGATTAAATTACTGGAGAGTTGCATGAAAATGTAAAATAATGTTCTATTGACAGAATATAGACTAAGCTTTTGATGAATGTATTTTCAAATCAGGAGTAGCTTTCAATTTCAGGTAGGTATCTGCCAAACAAAGTTTAAAAATCTATTAAAAACACTGGCTTCACAATTTCACATAGTAAATAATACTATATTTAAGCTATACATGGGGGGGGGTGTTTCTTATCAGAGAAGTACACAAACACACAACCCCCACCCTCAAAGTGTAACTCAATCCTATTGCTGCTCCTCCTGCACCATTAACTTAGAAAACAAATTTCTGTTATGTGTGCTTGGGGAAGAGGAATTAACAAGTTAGGTATCCAAATCACGTGTTAAATGTTGTATTTGAAAGCAGGCCTCCACTAGCAATGACGACATGGACATTATCACTACCACTTGGCCAGGCCCTATATCAACTTTTGGAGATCCTCTCCTTGGGCAATATGCTGTCAGAACCCCTCCCCGCATACCAAACTGAGGCTACTTTCTTCTGGCCAGTCATAACTACCCATTCATTTGCTTTTGCTCTGTTGATCCAATTTACCAGGTGGAAGGTAAGTGAAGGCTACTGCTTTTCCTCCATTGGCACTAATTCCTAAACCAGTGACAAGGAAGAAATAGTGGGATGGATAAGTCTTTGAGAATTAGCAATATATCTTCCACTGAAGAGTAGATCTAGGGTGGTGTCCAACCAACTATCAAGCCTGCAAAGAAGACTGTTCATCTAAAGCAAAGAAGACTGTTCATCTCCCAACCAGGTGACCTCCAGATGTTTTGAATTTCTTCTCTCTGCATTGGAGAAAATTATACTTTGGACACATTATGCAAAGACTTAGCTCTCTTGAGAAGTCTAAATGCTGCTCAAGTTGGAAGGAAAGAGAAAATGACTAGGAGCAAGGTGGATGGACTCAATTACAGCAGCAATGGGTATGTTATGAAAGACCTGAAAGTCCAGGTCAAGGACAAATCATCCTGGATAAAATGTATGTTGTCACTAGGAGTCAACCCTAACTTGATGGCACATAATAAATTGAGAAATCAACATTGGAAAAAGCTGGAACACAATTTTACCACATGGTTTCTGTTGAGCTTCTTCAGAATTAATGTGCAACAATGTGAAGAAACCTGGATTTAAGCAGTTTAGGGCTCTTCTAAGAAGGAAGATACATTGGGTTTAACATGCACTTTTCAGTCCTTCCCTAATCATATTAGCATTTGTTCTTGAAAAATAAGGATATTGCTTGCAATACAGATTGGCTTTATCACTTATGCTGGGAGTACCACCTCGGTTTTAGGAGAAATCCACAGGCAAACTACTGCAGCTAAAACTTTGCAACACATTGGCAATTTATGTCACTTCTCTGTATTATCGTCACAGACACTGTGAAAACCAGCGAAGATGTTTTCTCCTTGTTAGTATACTAATGGGCAATGATAATTGGAAATAAGGATTCATTTTCAACAAACTGATATGGAACACTCTTGAAATGTTTAACACATGTCTTATAGTCAATGTGACACAAAGATTGGGGATCAGGTCTGCATGTGCATTAAATTTGCTTACTTCTGAGTATACATATAAGCGGGGCCCACACATCACACTAAGTTATGTACCATATAGTAGATTGTTTTGTTTTGGCTTAGTGTGTTGTATAAGCTAGCTAGTTGTACAGGTAGTCCTCATTTAGCAACCGTAATTGGGACCCGCAACTCAGTCATTAAGCAAAGCGATCACTAAGTGAAAAATCATGTGACTGTGACTGTGTTTAAAATTTTACACAGGACAATGCATACTAAGTGACTGTAATGGTGGATACATGGCTGAGAGAAAGACACTGCGAAGGTCGTAAATGTGGGCATTCGTTGCAAAGTTACTTTTTCAGTACCATCGTAACTCTGAACGGTCATTGTCCAAGGCAGTTGCTAAGCAAGGACTACCTGTAGTTTGATACATTACTTAAAGAAACCAGTTTAGCACTATATATAAAAGCTGTGCAAAACCTTTGAAAGATGTGTTTCAGAATGTGCATAAGTGTGCACGAAGCATCTATTTTTGAATCATTAAAGCAAATGTGTCTTTTTCCAGCACACATGGCTTCTCTGGAAACTGCTCCCAACTGTCTCCACACATGTAGAATATATGTACACATATACAGAAAGAGCTAGGAGCAACACTAATGCAGCTATGCAAATTGAAAAAGCTACAGCTGCTGAAACAAGAGATCCTTCATACATGCCCATGTTTTGAGTTACCTCTTCCGAAGGATTTGGATGGCCCTGCAATGTATGAACCAAGTCAAACAGAAGTGTACTGTAAATGGACCTATGCAAATCAAGTTCTCTCATTTCCTGCAGATATCGTACAGAATTGAGTATAAATGTAACATAATAGCAACTGTAGAGTTTCAGATAAAAAGAAGTACACAAAATGCTAGAAATTCTGACTGATTTAACAACCTGTAGTATCTCAGAATGCATTTGTTTCCCAGAAGCCTATGGATAGCATACACTCAAGAACAGTTGGATTTGGATAGCATGATAACTGCAGCACATCTTGGAAAAAAAATAACATAAAATGTAACATCAGTACTACAAGTAGCCCACTGGTACCAATACAATACTCTCATTGATTAAATTAGTATCATTCATACTTCTTAATGTATCAGTTGGTCTTTTATAAACCCAGAGCAACTACTTAGTCAGGTTCAGGAAGATGGTCCTCATGAAGGAGGCTATCCTTCACTACTAATTGTTTCCCTCTATCAAATAAGTGGTCTTGAGGCATAAGCAGATCAAACTACAGTGGCTCCACAAGTGAATTGTCAATCTGAGCCCACTGGTGATGTACCTTAGAGCAGTGTTTCTTAACCTCAACAACTTTGGGTGGATTTCAACTCCCAGAATTCCCCAGCCAGCATGAGGTTGAGAAACACTGCCTTAGAAAACTCTCTTCTTAAACATAATGAATAACTGTGGTGTTACAAACAATTAGGGATGGATGGAAAAGAGTATGGACACTGTTACTGTCCACACTGGTCTTTCCTTCCTTCTTAATTCTCCCTTTCCCAGTTCTTTCTTAGCATGTGCATATTTAGTTATCCTCCACTCTTGAAAGTTTCCCATTTCTCTTTGCAACCAGATGCCTGTGATATTTCCACATTTCAAAATCATATTCTCAGGTATCTTTCCTTCCAAAGCTGCTGCTCTTTATCAGCAAATCTGAGAAAGTTCGGGGGGAAAGCTGGAGCTTCAACTTGTCTACTGTGTCTGGATACAATTTCCCTTTCCAATATACCCTGAGACAGGGAAAAGGTAGAAGATACATTTATGAGAAAGTTTGTGAAGTTCCCAAAGGATCACATTATGAATAAACTTTCATCTTGAAAGTGGACAGGGCAATATAGAATTTAGGACAGAACAATAAATGAGGTCATAAGAGTGAACAGGGGACCAAATAACAACATATGGGTGATGACATCATCATGCAAATGCCACAACTTACATACTTGTGTCAAAGATCAGGATGCAAGTATGGAATGGCAACATTTGCACAGTAACGTCTTCTTGCACACTTTGTCACTCTGGTGTCATCACTGTTTGCTGCAAGTGCTCCTGAATAGAGTCTACTAGAAACAATAAAATTAAATCAAATAAAGATATGTGAAAAATGTTGCAGTGATCTTGATTCTGGTTTTGAGTTCAAGAACTTGAGTGAATATTTAAGCACTGAGTATCTTTAAATGAAAAGAATATAACTATCCCCATTTGTTTTCAACAGCTTCTTCAGATAAATTCTTCCAGATAAGGAGAGGAGTAACTTCACTTTCTGACACGTATCTTTAAGAATGTTGTTCTTGCATCATTGAAGCCAAACATTTATGCACATACATCACCATTCATTTCTCACTCTCTGCAGCAGTTCTTTTGTATCGGTAAACACAGGAACTTTCCCTCCTACTAAATGGACACAGAGTGGCATTAGTCAATTAGTCAGTAGCCTGGATGTAAACAGGGACTGCCAACATGGCACATGGATTCTCTGAGCCAGGCTGCAATTCTGTCAGAGCAAGGTTGGATGAGATGCCAGTACGCTGGCCAGAGTTGCCACTGTCTGAATTTGCTGCTGACCTGCCAACCACAATGGATAGAACAGTGTCAGGTTCAGAAAATTGTTCTTTATTAGGACCATTTTTTTGAGCGCTCTCTCCACCTGTAGTGTCTTTGAGTTCTGTCAAAGCCAACTGAGCTGAAAGAGCAAGTCCCACTTTCCGCCCACGTGCCCCCCACTTCTTCTGAGATTTTCTGACTGGTAACTCTTTATCCTTTGATGAGTTCAGCCTACATTTGTGGTCCTTCATGTACTTCTGGCGGGTAAAACCTTTGCTACATGTAGTACAACGGTACTTATAGTTGCCAGTGTGAGAACGTTGATGTTCTATCATGTGAGCTCGCCGGCTGAAGGCTTTGTTACAATACTGGCACTTGTGGATCTTCATACCTAAAAAAGAAAGAATGCAACAAACGGCTTAGATGTAAAGACTTCCTGTAAGCCTCATCTAAACCCAATTAATAATTTTGTGAGTGAAGTGAGATTTGAACCTAAAAGTTCATGGCATACTTTCTTAGCCCCTCTACATCAATTCTATATAAACTCTATATAATTACACGGTACAACTGGTGATATAGACAACATTTTGCAGAGGAAGCCGTGAAAACTCAGCTACTCTGAACAGATATGATACACTGAGGTTTTGCTATCTTTGGCTTTCATGAATAGATTCCAGCATAACAATTCAATGTGGAATGGTTAATTCAGTCCCAATGGTAGATAGAATTAGATTCATCTTATTCAAAGATCAAAAGGGAAAACATATTTCCTCAAGGCTGCTTCCACTCTTCACTGAAGTTGAGAAACAAAATCCAAGTGCTTTATTAATATTCAATACATTAATTACAATGACTTCCAGCACTGATCAGAATCAAAGCAGTAATTCCATATACCTGAATGGGACAAAATATGAGCTTTCAATTTGTCCGGCCTGTTGAACTCCTTACTGCAGCCTGTATGATTTCTGCAACAACAAAATAAAAATAAGCAATGCAGAGAGGAACTTCTAAGATTATTTATTTATTAAAAGATTTGTACAGCCGCCCACCTTAGAACACATAATTCCGTTTCACTGACACTGTGATATTCATCTTAGCAGGAGCAACTTGCAAGTTAAATTATCAAACTCCTTGCTATAGCAAGAAAGAAGTATTGAGTTCTTGGTGCTCTCTGAGCTTGTTTTCTTACACACATTTTATTACCAGGCTATGCAACATCATCAGTGAAAGGGAGAGTGGGATTTGCTGGCTGTTTTATATATACAGGTAGTCCTCGTTTAGCAGTTCTCTATGAAGCTAGTGCTGCAGTGGGCCATCTGATACTTACGAGAATGGGCATTTATATTTCTTGAAAGGCTCATGGATCAGCATATGCCGTTTGAGTTTATCTTTCCTGTTGAAGGCTGAGTCGCACACTGAACATTTAAAAGGCTTTTCACCTGCACAGGAAAAAGACATGAATTCAGCAATGAAGGCGTACACTGAGTTTGGTTAAAAAGTATTCTAATAAGTCATTTTCTGTTCCTGGGTTATAGAAACATGATTCATCAGAATTGGGATCAGTTCCCCAAGATTCTTCCTGTCTCTGATGTAATGTATTGGTTCTAGTAGATGCTTGTATGCTTAACATATATTCAAAAGGCCTGGTTCCAATCAAAGCAGTGATCCATCAGACAGAAATTAAGAAGACTGCTAAGTGAACACAATTATTCAAACAGGGATGTAAAATCCAAGGAATGTAAGGTATCAACCACCACTGAAGATGATGACAGGAGAACCCTTAGAACATGAATAGGTTCAACAGATTGGAAACAGGTTTCTGCCACTTCTTACCTGAATGAATGTGAGCATGTAGTTTGAGGTAGTGTTCTCGGCGGAAGAATTTTTTGCAGATCTGGCACTTGAATTTGCCTCCTCCTCCATGTGTAGGGAGATGCCTTCGCAAGTACCTCTCACAGGGAAACACCTGCAAAAAGAAGGCAATGTCACTAAAAAGTTGGGTAAGAGCAAGGTCAGTTAGAGGGGTAGTAACTCTTATCAGGGAGACCAGGAGGGGCCACTATTTTCTAGCTACACGCTGCACTTAATATTTTTTGAGAGGCTGAGGCTAAAAAGTGAATGGGGGTCATATCTCCTATGTGGGCACGGCTGAATTTTGGGAAGTTTCAGGATTCTCTTCACTTTTCAACATGAAAAGCTTTGTTTTAGGGCTTATTTTACAGTTTTCATCTATTTCTTGGCTCAAGAAATAGATACCAATACATAGCATGATACCATCATCACTTTTCAGCAATAATGGTTAGATGGTAGCTCTGAGGTCCACAAGGGCTCTACCTGGTCCAATGTCCACAAGTTATTCACTCCTTCCCTTAGGAAATGCATATGTTCAACAAATCTATGCAGTAAAACTCCCAAGTGGATGAGACAAAGACTTTACTAACATAGATCAAGTGGGCTTTTTTGCAGGGGGAGGGAACCCTGCATGGATAGTTTCTGCATCAGAGAACGAGCCACAGGATAGACCGTACATATGTTGTAAATGGGAGAGAATAACTGTGAGAACTCAGGTGGTAACACTCCAGTAGCACCCTCTGAGGTGCATCCACTATACAAATGTGTCATTATATAAGCAGTCTTGGGCAACTCTCCATCTTCTCGGTCTAAAGCCTCTCAGAGCAAACTATGAAATAAACATGAATGAATAAACAGACAAAAATTTGCTGTACTAGGTGATAAAATCATACTTCTCTCTCCAGAAAGTCAATTTACTATTAAGACTATCTGCCTACCTTCTGACAATGAGGACAGGGGAAGTTGTGTGTTGCTGTCTGTAAGTGATGCTCCAGGGCTTCTGGTGTGGAATATTTATTTACACATTTGACACATCTAAAGAAAGAAAGAAAAAGAAAGAAAAAAGAAAGCATTAGCATTGCTGAAGTCTGCAGGCTAGCCTTTAGTTTCTTTACACATATGTATTTGCAAAAAATATTGTCAAAGAGGAAACACTTAGTGATCCTTGAAGGAAATACAGGCTTAAAAATAAATAACTACATAACTGCCTGGAAACTATAGTTCCAAGTTGCCTAATTTACCTTCATTTCTCTTAAAAAGAATGAAAGTTTATGGAATGGATTATGAGGGATAAAAACTTGTTCACCTTATACCCCAAGTATGCCATGAATATAAAAGATACTCCCTACATAAATATGAAGTGGTTTACCATTATCCCAGAAACTTCAAGCTGTATGTAATGGTATGAGGGAATGACCTTGGGAGACAGGAGGGAGACCCACAGACTGGACAACCAGTGTGTAAAAGATAGCCCACAGAAGGAGGAAAGGCATGGAAAAAGTTTCAGAAGAGACCCTCCCTCTCCCTTCTGGAGTATAAAAGGAAAGGAGGGGAGAAATACTTTGTCTTGCAAAATTCTGTTAGTGTAACCTTACAATAAACACAGAGCCAGTACTTCAGTTTGTGCTTCTTGTCTGGACTACTTCAAAGGGCTAACACTGTAGCACCAAAATTTTACTGATTAATTAATTGACTGATTTATTGGATATTGAGGCCACTTGCCCAGGACTGGGAACAGAGCTAGGTCTTCAGAAACCTATGGAACATCTGAAGGGTGCTCAGACTAATCAATGGAATCCCAGTCAACATATTATATTTTTCTGCTTCTACCTTGTACAAAACTGTAATTCTGACATATTTTCTTAACTCATATATGCTCTCATAGTAGGGTCTGATTTTCCTTGGTACTTTTTTTTTAACCAAAAAAAAAGTCAATGAACACTAAGTACCAAATCATTCAACAGCAAATCCACAACACTGACTGCTCTCCCAACTAGTTTAAATGATTGCCCTGATGATATTAATAACATCAAGTTTGAATCATATCGTTTTTCATTCTTTTTCCCCAATTACAGGCTAGAGGAATTACTCTTTGCAATGCTACCATACTTGTAAACTGCCATGTCCTTCTTGGGGCTGTGTTGAGGGAGCAAGCTGTGGGAATATTGGTGGACACCCAATTCATATAAAGAAGGGTAGTCCTTGCTGCAGAGGTGGCAGCGATAGCTCAGCTCTTCCTGGTGGTTCTTGATGTGCTCTAAGAAGGAGTCCAGCTTTTGAAATGTCTGTGCACAACTTTTCACAACGCATTTGTAAACCTGCACATTAATGGTAAGAAAAGAGAATTTAGATCAGCCTTATTCTGTGCCACCAAAAGCAAACAAACTGTATTGTACTATCAGAATTAAATTTATAAAAGTAATTAATGACTCTTGTGAGATTGATATACCCACCCACAGAGAAGGCTGTTTGCTATGTCCCTAGACAATGAATTACTCTTAACTTCTCTTCTTCCAATCAGCTTCTCCTAGAGGTTAACAATGGACCATTCAATCATTCCTTAGGCAGAAAAAATGCAAAACTATGTCCCTGCAGAGGTTACACGTTGTATCACTGCATGAGTTACTACTCTAGATTTGCCTCCTTCCAGTAAGGAACATAGGAAGATCCTTGATATGGGCTGATAGCATCTGACTCAGAATATAGTCTACACTAACAATGGCTCTCTAGAATTTTGAGGCTTTTTTTTTTCCTCTCTCTCTCTTTCCCCTTAGAAATTCCAAGAATGAAAACTAGAATGTTCTGCAAGCAAAGCATACGTTCTGAACTCTGACTTACTGAATATGCCCTGAATAGTGATTCATGCACACACAAAAAAAGAACTGTATGGTTCTTTCACAGTGGAAAAAAAACAAACATCAAGGTAGTGTAACTGAAAAATATATCTCAGCTATCAGGGATCTGTGAATTAGATTCTGTTGAATTGCTTGTGTTGTTGTTATCTAGAACACACTGTGTTGTTATCTAGTCAGCACATATTTCTACTGATGAATGAAAATATGCACAGGAGCATATTCTTATGCTGGATCCAAAGATCAGTGTGTTAAAAACATATAGTTGGCATATATAGTATCACAACATCAGAAAGAAACATCAGAAATTTGTCGATCAGTGAGTAGTCAGCTAAATTAAACAGAAAATTACCCTGTCATAGAGCATAATTTTATGTTCTAAGCTATGCTAAAGAAAAAGAAAAGTTAGCAAAATAGCCAACATTTTGCATCTGAGTTTTGTAATCTATATAGATTGTGCAAATTGGGAAGTATGCCTGCATTGTTCTGCAATCGTGGAAAAGTGGTAAAGAGTTCAGTATAGCAGAAGGAAGCCATCTCATGATGAACCATCTACCTGTTCATGTTTATGCTGAGTCATGTGTGATTTTAGCTGGAAATATGTATTAAACTTGCTAGGACAGAACTGGCACTGATAAGAACTGTCTATCAAGACCACTTGCTTGGCTTCCAACTTCGCAGCGTCATGTTCTTCCCCAGGAGGCATGGCTTCAGGCTGTGGAGGACTGCTTCTTGGAGCCTGGTTTAAGCCTAAAAGAAAAGATACAGAACACAGGAATGTTAGTTTAAGTTTCAAGCATTCCGAGGGAAAGAAGCGTTTTGAACAGATTACAAACAAGATCAGCAAAACAGAATTGCTCTTCTCAAATTACAAGCCATTTTTCTAAGGTGCAAAGCTTTGGAAATTAGATTTCCTTCTTTGTGTGCCTTTGCATTTCATTCATTTTTATCATGACTGAAGATAAAACTTATGCTTTTTTCACTTTCACTTTAAAGTGAGAGGAATTCCTATCATGAATGTTACATAGTATCTCCAGTATTGGAGTGATATGTTTGACAATGCCAGCTCTAGAGAACATGAGGGGAGGACTTTACTGTACTTGTGAACTCCTTTCAGGTGGCCCATTGGTATTTATTTCATCACTGTGGGAATAAACTGTGGGCTAAATGATCTGATTTTAAAGTGCTCCTCTCATATTCTCAAGCAATCAGCAGCCTAGTCCTTGGTGAAGTAGTACAGTTGGTATGTGGGCACAGGAGAGTAAACTAGGGCCAAATATTCTCCACCAGCTAAGTTCATTCTGCATGTTCAGGCTTGTAGCTTAAAACAGTTTTCTAAAATGGGCATGCACTTCCCAATCTTCTCACTGCCTATCAAGTAGTCGATATACACAACTCAGGAAACAGTCTTAGCCCAAGCAGTCACATTCACACAATATACAAAAGGCTTGGTGTTGCATGGATCATCATCCATAATTTCTTATGATCATCTAGAGGCAACAGCAGAGATGTTTAGGAAGTTAGTGATATCACACACCCAAATACTTAGATGCATAGGTTCTGTTTCAGGAATATATCTAAACGGGCTTTCCAAACTGATGCTCTCCAGACTCCAATTCCCATAATTACTAGCCAGCATCAGCTTCAGTTGGGGAAGGCCTGTCTAATGCAAAGCAATTATATTTGAAGGGTTATTCAGATAATGCAGAGTTACAATATCCCTTCACCTACTGTCTTGCTGAGGATGGATGATAGAATTTCAATATACATCTAATTTTAAGTTTAGTCCGTAGAGGGGGGAAAAATCAGTATTGTAGTTTCCACGAGTGGAGAAAATTTTGAAAAAGGATTAAGAGTAACAAGAGTATGGAAGAATATTGAATGAAAGGCTATGACTGAACAGGATCATAGCAGCTGTATATCTGATTTATACATTCATATGCTAATACATGCTTAAGCCAACAGTATACTAAAATTATTTTTCTAACCCTTCTAGTATTAAGATCTATAAAACAGAAAGACAGGCAGAAGCTCTATTATTCAGAGGTTTGGTGAAGCAGGTCCATATGATTGGCCATCCAAGCAGTTAATAATGCACCTGCATTTTCCTCATCCTCCTGCTGGTTGGGGTTGAGTTGCATGACTTGCACAGTGACAGAACTCCGAGAGATGGTACACCCAATTCCTGGTGGCCACACCTTATGTGTCTGCATGTGCTTCTTCACATTGGATTTTTGCGCAAAAGCCCGACCACATACAATGCACTGGAATGGCTTCTCCCCGGTATGACTGAAGGAAAAATAGACACTATGTCAGAGAATAGGAATTAGAATATCTCAACAGAGGGGAAAACATATTACTAGTGCACTCAACTGCAATCTACACTGTTGTGGCCTCAGTCTGTTTTAGGATGTTTCCTCTCTCAGCATTCAGGAATGAGACAGCAACTTCTAAATGAACAAGTTAATCCATCATTTAATGTATTTCATTTACTTTAACACTCTTTATGCTGTGCTTTAATACTGAACAATTTTCCAGCTGGCTCATAACTACTTACCAATGAAGTTGCATTCCAAACTGCACATAGATAGGAATTTGCATTATTGGAATGCTCCTTCAAAGCAAATTTCCTTACACTTAAAAAACCTACCACTTCAGGGAAGGTAGATAAAAGGTGTTTTTTTGAGATATATTTTTTCATGTGATAGGAATCTGCATGGAGAAACATGAAATCATATGAAGTCTCATCTGTAGCCTAAAGTGGTACAACCCAGGCACTCTCCTATTGTAGTTTAGAGCTAAGGATCAGTCAGGCCATAATGGTTTGTCCAATAATAATAAAACAAATCCTGCCTTAACATTATGTGCGAAATTTTATTATCACTCTGGAAGACCTGGTGGTTCAGCAATCAGGACCAAGATTAGGTTTCACACAAACACCATACAGAGACCAGTGTTCAATATTTGGGGGATCACACTGACCAAGCAGAGAGATGGCTTTATTTTCCATAGCTCTTGCCAGCAAGTAAGAATGGCTCCAATTGTTGCTCAGAATATCCAATCAAGTCCTTGGCCTGTCCAACTAGACACTGCTTCTGTCCGATTTTGGAAGCTCAACACTACCTCCTGATATGTTGCTGCAGATCAAAATTCTTGGTGAAGGCTTTATCACAGTATGTACATTTCAATTTTGGTGACTTGGGCTTTCCTGAAATGCAAACAGCAAAAAACAAGCATGAATTTATGTCAAAAAGACCACCCTGCCATGGATTTTTGTTTGTTCACTCTCCATCAAACTAGAATGAAGCTTGAGGAATGGAACTGCAGCAGGAGTCTTGAGAACATTGCTTTATTGGAAGAACAGAATGAAAATGATGGAAAAATCCAACAAAATGAGCTTACATGGGAGGAATGTAAACCCATTATTTACATCATGGGACTTTCTGCTTTACCTCTCATTCTTATTTCACATTAATTCAGATTTTGTTAATCCTGGCAAGGAAAGGAGCTGCAACATTGGCTTCTCTACCTACACTGGGTTTCTCACATCTTCTGATGTCATGGCAAGGAATGGCACTGCAACATTTCCTACAACATCAGAATAACACCTCAGCTTTGGTGGGTTACAATGTTGCAGTAATCCATTTTAGTGGATCACAACGAACACATCTGGCTTCCTGAAAAGGTTAATAAAGAACCAATGTTCCAATACTGTGTGATATGAACTGACAATGACAAACATACAAACAACTGTGGAGTCTCTGGGGTTCCCTGAGCTTGGTTGTTTTCTTGCAAACATTTCATTACCCAGCTAGGTGTACACTAGGTGTACAGTGCACTGAAGATGTTATCTAGCTGGGTAATGAAAACGTTTGCAAGAAAACAACCAAGCTCAGAGAACCCCAAGGATTCCACAGTTCAGCCCTGAGTTACACATATTCTCTTCTATTGATACGAACAACTTCCTTGAGGTTTAAATGTGGCTTCCTAGGTAAGGGGACAGATTTCTATTTTGTAAATGTACAGCAACATCTATTCAACCCTATTTGTTAACCAAAAAGGAAAACAAAACCCAATCCTAAAAATAACCTGAATAGCCACAGAAGGTTTCTGAACTTTATGAAATACATAACAAACCATATTCCTGTATCATCTAAAAATATTATTTTACATATTTTATTACATCTTCCAAATAAAGACAGTTTGTGCATCAACTAGAAGCTAAAGCTATTTCACATGTTTCAGAACTGTATAGGAAATAATACATTAGCAATTTAATATAGTTTTAAAATGAATGAGTTCTCAGGATTCTAATAGCCAATATTTGGGTTGTATGCCCTTCCAGATGTTTTTGGACTACATGTCTATCATCCTTGGTTATTATTTGCCATGTTGGCTTTGGTGTACAAGAGTCACAGTCCAGGAATATCTGGAGAATCATGGATTTCCCTTTGCTACCCAAGTCTTCCAGTGTCATGGACTTTAGTGCTCCACATACTGTTACTCCAATGTAGACAGACCACAACAAGAACTAGTAGCAAGAAGACCTACCTTCAAGCAAGTTATTGTCTGGTTTGGAACGACGGTTCTTGGAAGCAGAATCAAAATTGGTCAAATTTCCTCCGCATGTATTATTCAAGGAAGTAGCAGTATTAGCACTTTTAGACTTAAAGCTTTGCTTGCTTGGACTATATACTGGAGGGGAGGGGTACACTGGGCTTTCCACGCATTGGCTGGGCACCTAAAACAGAAATCAATGATAATAACATATATGAAAGTGATAGAACAATATAAATAATCCAAAGCTCCATCATTACTCATTCAGTATTCTGACAACCATGACTTTCAAACCAGCACACAGAAGAAAAATGGGTTATCTTGACTTTTATTGTCAGCTCAAAGTTGGGAAGTAGGAAGCAGATCAAAGTCCTGCTGCTTACAGATGAAAACTACAAACACTTGCATTGCTTAAACACTTGCATCATTTTTTGGTATGGCCTTGAAGAGAATCTGGTACTATTTCTGTTTTTAACTGACCATGATTTACTGTGTTGGATAAAGACTGCCAAACTGTGGTTAGCCTTAAATACAGTTAGTTAAAACAAGTCAGTATCAGTTGATTATTAAGGTTAACTACAGTTAGGTTTCAGATAATAAGCTAAACCATTCTTCCCAAATGTGGAAACCTTCCAGATATGTGGACATCAACTTTCAGACATCACCATGGCTGTTGCTGAGAATTGAACTGAAAATCCAGATATCTAGAGGGTATGTGGACAGGTAAAGGATGGACTAAGCTATAGCTAATCTAAAATAGAAGTGGAAACCTTATGATTTCCTTGTAGCTGTATCAAAGGAGTAGAGAGAAGCAAATGGATCCAGAGAGGTGAGGCTCATTTTCATAAAGCTTAGCCTTAGTTTAGAATTATGTTACCACTGAATGTTGTCCCTAGATGTGTTCACACATCATGCTAAGACTAAACCAAACTACACTGTTCATTAATGCAATTATAAAGCATTATAATTATAGATTTTAAAATGTTACAAATTTAATATGAAATGTTTTTACTCAAGCCTGTGTGATTTACAACAGAAATTTAGTTGTGAGAAAATAGATCCATCAATATAGAGACTGCAGTGTGAATGCTATTTAAATTTCCACTTATAAAGCGGAATTAACTGACTACAGAGGCATGCACAAACAACATCAAGTTTTATCCTAGTACATTAGAACATAAGTAGCGGCCTGCTGGACTGAACTTTGGCTCATCTAGTCTAGCAGTCTGTTCTTACAATGGCCAACTAATTGCACAAGGAAGCCCACTAGTCTCCCAGCAATAGCCTTCAGAGGTAATCGCACTGCCATCATGGCTAATAGCCACTGATCTCCATGACTTCCATTCATTGGTTCAACCCTTTTTTGAAGCCAGCCAAGCTGGCAGGCAGCACCACATCACATGGTAGTGAATTCCAAAGATGAATTCCGTTGTGTTGTCCTGATTCTTCCAGGACTCAGTTTCATTGGGTAGGCAAATTAGAACAACTTTAGCCATTCAAGAATCTGCCCAAAACCAAACAAAAATATTTAGTGATGCTGATTCTCTGATTCGAGGAGATATTCCTAGAGACAGCTTGAAAGCTGCTCTCTGAGTTAGCAGTAGGCTATAATCAAATAAAGGCATATATGTTTAAGATCAGAGAGTATTTCTGAAAAGCAGTTTGCACAAGCCAAGCTAATCCTTATGGGATGTTTTTCATTTCAGGTGCACCCCTCTAAAACTAAAGGCAAGGTTTTGCTACTTGTTTTTTCACTGGAAAGGATCCAGTGGTGCTTTGCCCATTTGAATGGTTTCCGTCATGTTCTTATTTTCCTCCCCACTAACAGCTTTGTCCTAAAATAAATGTGACCTCTGAAAAGAGTCTCAGTGTGGTTATGGTCACTAAAATACAATTTCTGAGTAAGAGCCTTCTGAAATGTCTTATTCAGTCTCAATACTGAGACTGTACAATAAATCTATAAACTCTATCTCTTGGTAACCAGATTCTCTAACACCTAACTTAGCTTTGGCATTTTAGGATGCATTATTTATTTGTGTTAAATACTTTTATCTTACTTTTCTATTTAACAAGTACTCAAAGTGGCCATGGACAAATTTCTACCACACCTATAGACCACTATATGATGTTTCTCCTTTTGATCATATTTGGCCCAGCAGATTATATTTAAATATTATTAATCTCTCAACTTAGACAATCTGTATAGAATATAAATAAATTTCCTTCTCTCAGAAACTGGGATCTATTTGACACCTTTGGGATCACCATTTTCCTTAGGAAGAAAATTATCATTCATTATAATACAACCTTGTGTATTTAGCTGTGCCCTTCTTTGAAAACCAACGAACAAATGGTATTTTGAGGCTGAGGAGAATCAGAGCCAGCACCATTTTACAAAGGTCAGTGAGACCATGTAATTCTCACAAGCAAGACTATAATCACTCAGACAGGCAGCCACTTTTACCTCCAAAGGTGGGTAGGGCTGCATCCCCAAATTCTGTATTTCTACCGTCCCATTCACAGGCATGGAGGCTGATGCACTGTAGACTTCTGCCACTCCACTGCTACCTGCATTGGCCTGACCTGGCATTCCAAGGGTGTCAAAT